GGGCCTCCTCGTCGTCTTCCTCTACGCCGCCATCCACAAGGTCGAGGAGGGGCACCTGGCCGTGTATTACAGGTACCGTGGCAGCCCGCCGGCTCCCCCCGTCCCCCGACCCCGTTTCAGGCCAAAATTGAGAGGCACTCCGCTTTTTATGCATTTATTTTTTTTCAACCGCTCGCCTTTTCCATCTTTCGCATCCATTCCTGGCGTTTAAGCACCCGGGGGGGTCCGCGCAAGGACCCTCGGAGGCCGCTGCCTTGCTATGCGCCTTGCCATGGCCCCTCGGCGGGTGCCTCGTGGCAGTCCCGCTGCTGGGGCTCGCCATGGTTCCTGGCGAACTCCTCAAAGAAGGAAATCGTGCTCCCGAAGCTCTCTCCAGTGTAGCTAACGATGGAAGAATTTAGCAATGTCAGTCTTAAAAAAACAAAAAACCCAACTTTCACAGGAGCGAGCAATTCTGGAGTTGCAGGGGTAAAGTATCTTGCCCTGAAACAGCTCTTTTTAAGTGAATTAGGCAGTCGGGAACATTCAGTTTGCATATGTCAGCTTGCCCTTTGGTACAGGGATTTCTTAGGTTACAAGCAAGCAGTGATTTGGTTCAGATGAATTACTTCACCTGTGATACCCGTAACTATGTGTGTCAGTGTTTTGAATGCGCTCGTCACCTCTCCAAGCCAGCACCTGTCATTTTTCCAGCGGTTTGAGCCTTTTCTCCCTCTTTTTCTCCCTCTTTTTCTTCCCCTCTCTGCAGGGGCGGTGCGCTTTTAACCAGCCCGAGCGGACCTGGCTACCACATCATGCTTCCCTTCATTACTACCTTCAAATCTGTGCAGGTGGGTACCCCCTCTGCTTGAAGGAGGGGAAGCGGGGGCAAATGTTGGTGCCGATATTGCCAAATGGGGCTGCTGGTATTTGCAGAGGAGCTCAGGAGTTCATTTTTCTGGGCTCCCTGTTCTGAACAGTCGTGATACTCTGCGTTTCCTGGGGAAAGAGCACTTTCCTGAGCACATTCTGTCTTTTAATTTCAGACCACGTTGCAGACAGATGAAGTTAAAAACGTGCCTTGCGGGACAAGGTAGGTCGTTTCTTTGTGTTTCCTCTGGTGATGAGATGATGTGCAAACCAGTGGGTAACTTTCTACAGTGTTGTGAGGCAGCAGCTGGAGAGTAAAACTGGTCACAGAAATATCTGGAGATCTTACAGCATTTTTGGAACTGACATTTTACCTCCTGTAAAGAACGTAAAATTACTGTAAAGAAAGGATGAGATGGGGTAAAGGAGAATCCAGTGCATGGGTGGCACCTGCCTGTTTCGTAATTAGGTTACTCCTTTTGTCAGCAAAGATCTGGATTGCTTTAGCAAACTGAGCAATAGCGGGAGAGTGCAAGCTGGGTTGGGCTGCAGATCCTGTTGTGTTGGTTCATCCCCAAGCTAAAGCAGTTGCTGCATGTGTTTCTTCAAGACAAAAACAAAACTAGTAATTCCTTTTTTTTTCTTGTGGCTTTAAGGTGCTCCCAGTATTTCTGTAAACAAGAGCGTAAGCAATGTGTTTTTCTGCTATTTTATCAGTCTGACACAGATAGTGGCACAAAACAATCCAGCTAAAATTAGAAGTTAAACATGACTGGCAACTTCAATTCAGCAGAATTTTCATCTGTTTTGGGCCTTGCTTAAAATAAGGTCTTAAAGTTGTTTCATGCAGCAAGTCATCGGACATAACCTGGGCTTAAATATTAGCGTAGAAGAGTTGCTGTGAGCCCTCGTTGTCTTTGCTTTTAGATCTCAAAACTCTTCCAGGAGTGTTTGTAAATAGTGCAGGAGTCCAGGGCTTTGTGATCAGGTCAAAAGTCTTTAGTCACACATTACAAGGAACTGCAGGAAAAGAAATGAGAATTCAGATGTTCACACACCTACCTTTTAAATCACATTTTCAAAAGAAATTCCTCAGGGCAGAGTTCCAGGCCACTGAGGTAAGTTGTAGAATGAGGGGTGCATGATCCAGTGGATGCTCGAGAAGAGGAAAGGTGATATCTTTCAAGCAGAGCTCTCGAGATACAGTCTCTTTTAGCAGAGTGACATGTTAGCAGCAACTTCTAGCCTGAACATAGCAGAAACAGGATGAGGGCTTTGCCTGACCAAGTTTGTAAACCTGCATTGCCAGTTTTGTGTATCTACTTCATAAAGTTTCTGTTATGGTTTGGCGTTGCTGAATTCAGTTGTGCTGTGCAAGCAGTGATGAAGTTGCAGGTAGCAAACATGCCTGAATGCATCACACAGCTGTTGAAACACATCCTAGTTAATAATTGAACCCATTCAGACCAAAGGTCCCAACAATCTAGTCCTTTTTTTTAAGGTGTTGTTACAAGAACTAGTTTCTTTGTCACCTTTAGCACTTTTAAATTAGTTTTAATAGTCTTAATTTACTCTATGTCAAAGCTAGTTTATGGACTTCAATCCAAAGTTCTCCAGTAAAAACTTTTATAATTAACAAATGGGTACAATTCAAAGCTTTGCCATTTCTGTTCAAAGCTCTCTGCAAAAATAGATCCTAAATCCTTTTAAGTTCTGTATTTGTATATTAGACCATCAGACTCTAAAGGATGGGTTTGTCCTCCACCTTATTCCCTCGTCTCCATTTGGAAGCTCCTAAATGGCTGTGTGGGTGTCCAAATCCCAGTTTCTGCCTGTCCATATATGCTTGGAAGAAGTCTCCTCTAAATTTTGTACAGGTTATAAGATGCGAAGAAATAGTAAATAGCCGTGCTGATAAGCATTAATATTGCCTAAGCATTAGATATTTATTTGTTGAAGTTGCAAGTCGTCTTGTGCTGAAGATCCTTTGGAAAACACAAGCAGCGTACTGGAGGACCAGATCCCTGTTTGTTAGATAATCACATCCAAAAATGTCACAAATACGATGAGTAGAGGTATTAAAGTAATAAAGTAGTCTCTAAACAGGCAGGAACTAACCCTTAAGCCAATTTTTACACACGCTTCTTACCCAGCCAAGTCTGAGCTTGTCTATGGTCAGCTCCAGCAACGAGTGGTGAAAGACTTTTTTTTTCCTTTTTCCCCAGACTTTTTTTTTTTTTAATGATAACTTAAGTTCTTCATCCCTTGCGTTTTTCCACGTTGCTACTGTGGGTCTCTTTCTAGCTGCCGCAGTCGAACGTTTCCAGATTCTGTTTCTTAAGTAATACAGTGAACTCTGCCATATGCCTAAATTTCTCCCGAGTGTATGTGGTCTGCACGTGGAGCCTCTTTTCAGACTTGTTGTGGATCTCTGCTTGTTCCTGTCTCCTTGACTAAAGAGCCTGATAAACTCTGTCATGCTGTCTCACCAACCTCATGAGCAGCTCTGGTGTGAGGACCTCGGGGCCTTTTGGTAGTAGCAGTTCCACAAGAATCTTTCTGAATTTCAGTTTTGGCAAGGCTATGGAAATTGCAGCTGAGGGTTGTAGTTTTGGAAACCTTTACATCTGAAAAACACCTAAATGTAGGTGCTGAGGTTCAAGTAAAGCAGCTGTTGATAAGAGGATTTATTTGGTTGCTAATCAACAGGATATGTGAATGGGCTCCCACCTCAAATCACTTCATGGTGCTGGGCTGGAACTACTGCCTCGAGACTGCCCAGGATGGTATCTCCTGGAGTTCAGGAGATGACCAATATCTGGACCAAACTATTTGAGAGATCTTTCCAAACATGCTCTTGTTAAAATCAGAATTGTTACAGTCTGGTTTTGTTCCTGGATTTATAGGGAGGAGATTCAAAGGGTCGTCCCCACTAGGAAATGTTAAACAATGATGGTTTCAACAGCTGGCTGGATGGAAAACTTAACGCAGCTGCTTTGTAGGCTTGCCTTAACATTAATCCCTTAGTGGGGACAGCATTGTTAGGTTCTGATTGAGCGGTTCTTGTTTTGCTTCTACTATTTGCACGCAATTGAAATGCAAAAAGGACCCTAAAATTTAGGCTTTGGGTGGTAGCCCTGCAGAAAACTCCAGGGGGAATGGTCTTTCTGAGACCGTATGTATACTTTGAAAGCAGGTTCAGAGGATCCTGAGAAACGTGTTTGGAAGTTACTTTCTAGAATAAACAGCTTTTTAAGGGGTGCAGGATAGTTACACAGTACAGCACCCATGAGATGGATTAAAAAATGTGTTGTTCCTTTGTAAGTGCTCACAGTCTCACATGGAGGGAAATCTAACTACCCGTTTCAGATCTGGGAAGTAAGAAACCAAGTCTGCAGGAGGAAGTACCTTGGAGAGAAAGCACCATGGAGACATGGTTTGGGCATGCGTGAGGTCTGCTTCAGGAGAGGAACTATCTGCAAAGTGTGCTGGAGTTTGCTGCCATCTGAATGCAGATGTTTAAGAGGTCAAAGTTGTTCTGGGCAAAACGGAACCCCAGCTTTCGGACAGAATTCAGTAGAAGAGGAGAAAAGACAACTTTGCTTTAAGTAAGGGATTTCTGCTAAAAGCTGCAGGGCTAATTCGTGAATTGTCTGTGTCTCGTTCACAGTGGTGGCGTTATGATCTACATTGACCGAATAGAAGTGGTGAACAAACTGGCACCGTTCGCAGGTATTTCCCGTCCTGTCTTAACAAGCAGCGCTGGGACCGTCTTCGCTCCTCGTTTGTGAGGCCGCTGCTGCTTTCTGTGCCTCATCTTCATGGCTCCCGGGACCCTAGCACTTAGCTGTATACCCGTGTCTGCAAGTTCTTTGGAAAGCTTTGCAGCCACAGCATTTGCAAAGAGGAACGCAACCTGTAGCACTAGTTCTGCCCTCGAGGGTTCTACACCTGGCCATTTAGAAACGCTGGGCTGGATATGACAAGCCCTGGTGTTGCAGAAGCAGCAAAGGGCGAGTTCTTGTTACGAGGATGGGAATGATACTTGTTTACTCTTGATAGGAGTATCTGTTCCTCTGCGTGCAGGTCCTGTGCAGACTTTACTATTTCATTTGTTTATACAGATCGTAAAACAGGACCATGCAGTATATCTTATTCTAATTACCCTGCTCTTTGAAGTCATATAATCCCGTGAGCGCTGGTGAAAGGAAGCTCTGCAGGTGGCTACTCCGACCTCCCAGTCACAGCAGGGCTGTCACTAGCATCAGGTCAGTGCAGCTGTGGCTTCATGCAGGCAATTCCCAAAAGCTCCTGCGGATAAAGATCCCCAGCCCCTCGGGTGCCTTGTCCCAAGGCTGCAATACTTCCCTAAGGATCTGAGCTGTCCCGTTGAGGCAACGGGGTCAGAGGAGACTCAGTGTGGGACAGTTGGAAAGTCGCTGTGTGCAGCAATGACCTGTGATAATCCTTTTATTTCCTCAGTGTACGATATAGTGAGAAACTACACTGCGGACTATGATAAGACCTTGATCTTCAATAAAATTCATCACGAGCTGAATCAGTTCTGCAGTGCCCATACTCTTCAGGAAGTATACATCGAGCTGTTCGGTAAGCATGTGGCAACTGGAAATGCCCGTGAAAAAAGCCAGGTAACCCTCCCCGTTCAGTGGAACACATTAAAGCAGGCTCTTGTAAGCAAACAGGCCCTGGGCTCAATTTGTGGTTAAAAAACATTTCCCTAAAAATCTACATGCCTCTTTCTGTGTAACTGTGTTGTGTCTTTAACGATGCACGTTTCTGGATATGCCGGTAGGTGTTTAAATTCAGTCTTTTTCCACTTAAGACTGAATTCTGGACGTACAAAATAGTGATTGTGATTTTGTGCTTGCTGACATGATCACTGCATTCTCTCATGATCCTTTTATTTTCCCCACATCTATTTGTTAAGCCTTGGTGCCACTGGCAGCTGAAGGTCTTTGAACTTCAGCAAGAAGGGGCTGGAACAATTGGTGCAGTTTGTTGCATTGCTCTGTTTTTTTCGCAAGGGGGTAGCAGTGATTCAGGAACTAGCAAAGGATGAATCTTGCGGATCCACAGCAAGCCAAGGCGGGATTGCTTGCTGGCAGGGGGATCTAGCTTTCTTCCTGAGACACTGAAAGCAATTTGCCTCCAGCTTTGGCCCATCAGTAGCTGAACCCATCAGTAGCTGAAGCTTTCCACAGACACCAGTGTGTGTGGCTCGCCTTAAGAATGTTTTCAGTGGGAAATGTTTTCTTCAGAGGGTGTACAAATGGAGATGATGTGTGAATGACCTCAAAGAACGTCTTTATTTCACGCCCTGTGTAGAGGTGCCTCCTCTTGAAAGCCAGGTGACTCCCTCTGCGGCACAAACCGCAGGAGAAATTATGTGCCTGGATTCACATGGCCTCTTTCTCTCTTTTTCTCCAAATACAGATCAGATAGATGAGAATCTGAAGCTGGCCCTGCAGAAAGATCTCAATGTCATGGCACCAGGTCTCACTATACAGGTAAGTCCATTCCCCAGCAGAAGTTTATTCTCTTCTGCACCTCAAGCTGCTCTCACTGGATCAATGAGATCTCTTCTGTTTTTCACATTTTGAAGACTGTCCACCATATGACAGTGACTACTTCTAAATGCTGTTTTTATGTTAGGGGAAGACTTGCAGGATAAAGGAAAGAACCTTGTTGGCCACAGACCTGTGGATACTAGATTTAATCCACAATCAGCTATGAAAAAGGTTTCTGTGTAGCTAAATCTGCGTAGCTAGATCTTTCAGCATAACCTGCTCCTTTTCAGTCCAGACTGCCCAATCTTAGCTGTTGGTCAGAAGTTGGAGGACACCCTGCCTGTTTCAGCCCAGGGTGGGTTTGCAGGACCAGCAGCTTGAAAATGTGCTATAACTTCTGAGGAAAGTAGTTCATCGGAAGTGCTTCAGAAACAGTGGGATTATTCCTTGATGTTTCTACCATCCTCTTTCTTGGTCTCCAGTGAGACTGTGCCTTGATGACTAATCTTCCATGTTGCTCTATCGTTTGCCATGAAACTTTCTGCTACCTTGCTGAAGGACTGACCTTTCTTTAAGCTGCCCATATTGAGCTGTATATAACTTAGATGGAGTTGGGAAAACCAGAGTTCTCCTGGACTTAGTCGTAGTGGTGCATGTGCAAGGCAACACAAAGAGCTTTTAAGTACATCAGCAGCAAAAGGAAAGCTCAGGAGTCTGGATGCTTTCTTTCGAGGCTGGGTGAATTTGCCAGGATAAGGATGCCTGTCGCATGCCATTCCCTTTTCTTGCCAGGGAAATGTCCATGTCCCACTGTGTGCGGAAGCAATAAAGTTCTTTGCAGACTCACAGAGTCCGTAGAGAAGTATCAGGTTCTGTTCTAGACCTGTGATGGAGATTGAGCAGGAGAGTTGTGAAGCGATCTTGACTGTTTTGATTCACAGACCTCAGCACTGAACCAGGTGACACACACCGGCCGGGCAGCAGCAGCTCCTGCCTTCAGCTCCTGCCATTTTTGCCCTGTTGCTGAGCCCTTGAAGAGTTTGTCTCACGTAGCCCTACCTCTTGTTTGCAAGTCCCACCTCTACAGCTTAATTCCATTGGATCCATGAGGCCCTGTCTTGAGCGCTGCCTTGGGAGCTGCTGTCTCGTGATCTTTGGAGAGTGTCTCCATCTAGGGTGGAGAACTAAGCTGTTTCTAAGGAAGTGGTGGAGCCCTTAAGGGATTACATAACATCTGGGCAAAAGACTCCCTAAGTGTTACAAAAGGGTTAAGGAAAGAACATTCAAATGTGGGACTTCTGTTTAAGAGAGACAATTCTGTCAGGTTGCTGTGCTGTACGAGAGGCCTGGAAACTGTTACGCATGATCTTGCATGAACGTGGAAACATCCGTTGCCTTTACTAGTGGCAGGGGCACTGCAGCTGGTTTTGTCATGATGTGTCTTAGCTGTGCAGATCTCATCCAAATGTTTCGTCTAAAATGCACTTTCCTTTTTCGTAGGCTGTGCGTGTTACAAAACCCAAAATCCCAGAAGCCATCCGAAGAAATTTTGAGCTGATGTGAGTAGCTGTACATAAAATTGTCTGAGATGGTTCTGAGGGTCCAGCACAGGCATAGTGCCTTTATAAATCTCATAGCTTGTGTTCAGAAGATGGAAGGGAGACTGCAGTTGTGCATGTGCTCTGTAAGGTGCCCTTGTACAGTCTGTCTGTCTGTGTTCATAGCTTTTGTCATCAGGAAGCATTTTAGCCCTTCAGAAAGAAGGTTGTTAGCAATTACAGAGCCTATGGCATTGAGGATGTTGATGTGCTATGGAGAATCTATGGATTCAGTAATTGAACTTGGGGCTCTGGGGTCCTGATGCCTTGACCACAAGCTCCCTTCCAGCAAATTTGCAGAATCCCAGGAAGATTTCAGTTTGATAGGGACCCCTGGACGTCTCTTGACCAAGCTCCTGCCCAAAGCAGGGCTGGCTTCAAGCTACAGCAGGTTTTTTAGGACCGTGTCCAGGTGAGTCTGGACAAACCCGAAAGGTGGAGATCCCCCCACTCTGCTTGGGGACCTGTCCGAAGGTAGCACCCCTTGCATGGGGAAGGACTGTTCACTAAAGTGCAGCCAGGACTTCCCAAGTTGCAGCTTGTGTGATGGCATCCCATGCTTTAGCTGGGCCCCTCTGAGCAGAGTCTGGTCCTGTCATCTCTACAGCTTCTTTGGGTCTGCACTCCCTGCAGCTGGATCCCCCTTCACCTTCTTGTTTCCTGATTGAATAAGTCCAGTTCCTACAGCTGCTCCTTGTACACCCTGGTCTCCAGCCCCGCCATCTCTGTGGTCTGCCCTGGATTCGTCCCAGTTCATGTCTCACTTGTGCTGAGGGGCTCAGGCTGAACCCCATGTCCAGGTGCAGCCTCACCAATGCCAAACAGAGCAGAGTTAGCCCATGCTTCAACTGTCTGGCTACGTGTGGCTTGTACAGCTGAGAACATGACTGATCTTCACTACTCAAGGGTGCACTGCTTGCTTTGGCCAAGTTGTTGCTCCTCAGGTGTCCCGTGCCCTTGCTTGCAGAGTTGCTTCCCAGCTCTGTTTCACTGTGACACTGTTCCTCATCCTGCAGGGAGGCCGAGAAGACCAAGCTCCTCATAGCAGCCCAGAAGCAGAAAGTTGTAGAGAAGGAGGCAGAGACAGACCGGAAGAAAGCACTCATAGGTATGTGATCCATCAGGAGGACCAGCAGATTCTGTCCTGAGTCATGTATTCCATTGTCCTGAGTCAAGAATTTCCATTCTTACATCCCCCCCCAGTAGGCGAGTAGGGACATATTCATGCATTGCTGACAGCTCCCTGAAAGAAGCACATCTAGGGTAACATCTAGACAATGAATGTTGGTGCTGCTGCATCTGCCTTTGGCCAACCCAGACCCAGCTCCCTACAGCAGCAGAGCAACGCGCTCCTCACCATCATGCAGCAGCAGCACTCGGCTTCCTCCTGAGACCTGCTGCTCCTCTGGCACAGCAAACACTGAGGCTCGCACCTCCCATAAAGTTCCTAAGTCTTGGAAGTTGTCTGCTCTTAGCCCCACGTCAGACCTCAAAAGCCTGGGCTCCTGCTACAGATTGAGAGCTAACAGCTCTGCTGGCAGAACTTGTTGGGCTCTGTTGAGGTAAATGTGGTTGGGCAATGAGGAATCATGGTTGTAAAAGGGATTTGAGCCACTTCAGCCCTAGAAACTTGAACACTGCCTTTTCCTCCTACAGCTGTATTGTTTGGGGTACAAACTGGCTCTGAGCTATAGAGGACAAGAGGGGAGAGGGAGCAGCAGAGGGTGAATCGCCTGTATGGTGATGTCTGCGACCCAACTCTGGGGTGAGGATGCTCAAGGATTGAGCGCAAATGTCTGAGCTGAGCCTGTTGTGATTGCAGAAGCAGAGAAAGCTGCTCAGGTGGCCAAGATTCACTATCAGCAGAAGATTATGGAGAAGGAAACGGAGAAGCGAATTTCGGAGATTGAAGGTAATACAGTCCTATTGAGGTGCTGCTGGAGTTCCCTTCTGGCTAAGGAGCTCCCCAGTGCCTATGCTAGAGAAACCTCCAAAGTGGGCTTGTTATCATCCTAAAAATAAAGGGTGCAGCTGTGCAAAAATACGCCCTCGGGCCGTTCCTCCCCTTTACTGGCTCCCTGGGGAGGTACCTGCAACACTGGCGTGTGACCAGGCTGCTTCGTGGACTCAGCTGAGTCAGATTGTCCCTGCAGGACAGGGCCCAAGCGTTGCACGTGATGTAGCTGCTCACTTGCTAACACCCCTTCTCCTATCCATCACCCGTTGCTCTATCAGATGCTGCGTTCCTAGCGAGAGAGAAGGCCAAAGCGGATGCCGAGTACTATACCGCTCGGAAGCTGGCTGATTCCAACAAGGTGAGCACTCGAAATCCCTTCGAAAGAGGGCTTGCTAACCCTTCCCCTCGACACAGGGGAGTAAGTTCAGATGGACAACACTGAGCAAATGTTTAACAGCCCCACATTTCCTGGGGGAAGGGCTACCTGAGATGGGCTGTAGTGATGCATGCCCCACAAGGCTGTCTCTCATGGCATCCATTTTCTCTTGCAGCTGAAACTCACTCCAGAGTATCTGGAACTAATGAAATACCATGCAATAGCTGCAAACAGCAAGCTGTATTTTGGCGACAGCATCCCCAGCGTCTTTTTGGATTCCTGTGCCTTCCAGCAAACTGGCGTGAGGACTGCTCAAGAAACCAGCCTGTCCTCACAGGAGACCCCAGAGACCTCTGGGAAAAGCCACCACAAAGCAAAGGAAAGCATGGGCTGACAGAGGCAGAAAGATCCCTGGAAGAGCTCAGCAGCTAGCCCAGCTGTGGATGGGGATTGCCCTGTGTGGTGGGGCGGATGCAGCACCTGCGTGGACGTCTTGCAGATCGGTGGCAGTTGGGTTGATTTTTCTTCTAGCAACACGTTGCAAGTGCTCTGCCCCTTCCATTTCTTCCCCTATTGGTGCTTCCAAATGAGGGATAATCCTGTACTAACATACCTATACTGGAATATTAAAAAGACAGAAACCAGGAAAGCCTTCTGCAGTAGGTGCGATTCTTTAGCAAGCATGACCTTTGGGGCAAGAGACCTGGCTTTCGAGTGCTGCGCGGCTGCTCGTTCCCCAGCCCTCGAAACTGAGGCCAAGGAAAGATGTTTCCTTCCTCCTGCTGAGGACGCTTCGCTCTGTGGACCCTGAAGCAGGTTCTGTCAACACTGATTCCTCGAGGACTCAAGGAGGCTGCACCTCGGCCTGGGGAGAAGCCCAGAAAGGAGTGATTTGGTTTAGAGTAGATTCTTTGAATAGGATCTGCATAGCCATAAGCTTTTTTTCTTCCCTGTAGGCAGTGGGACTAGATAACACGGACTCAACATGAGCAACCTGTAAGAGGCTTTAGTAACTTCCCTCCTCCAAACAAGAGCCTTATGCTGGCTGGTCACGAGTGGTTGTAGGACGCTTCAGATGGGCAACGAGTCTCACCTTGCACCCTCAAACGGGAGTCGGAATGTGTGCAGCACCTCGGAGCAGCTGACGGGCAGCAAAGGGTCCCCAGTTTTGAAATCTCTGCTCAGACCTCAGCCCCCCGCTAGGTCTTCTCACTATGGAAAGGTTGCTGAATTTTCACCACTCTGCCTCACAGGCAAAGGAAAAAGAGAAGAGCAAGGAGAGAGATGCAAGATAATCCTTGGGGCAGAGGGAAGGAGTCTCAGTATTATCCCGCTTATTCTAATGGCCTCCTTCCGTAATGGATGACTCTCAGCAGAGAATAGGATCCCAGAAGAAGGGGAATTTGCCCTGTGAAATTCCTTGTGCACCCTCAAGCAGTTGCAATGGAGAGTCCCTCAGCAGTCCTGCAGGTGCCACAGGGCTTCTGCTCACAAACCCTGCTGGCAGGATGGCCTGTGTTCCTGGCACACAGTCTCTCATAGCTGTTCCCTGCTCCCTGTGCACTGCTGTGGCATGAGAGGGGAAAAAAAGGTGAATTCCTTGGAGGGGAAAATGAGAATGGGTGAAATCTGTCAGTGATCTGCTTTCTTCCCCTCTTCCCTGCCTCCCTGTGCCTGCCAGGACCTGTACTTGTTTCTTGGATCTGTTTCTCCTTGTGTTCTCTGCCAATCCCCTAAGATGGTGACCAAAGGAGTGTGTGATGGGGGCCTGATCCAGAAAGCCGTGCCCCCAGCCAGGAGCACAGCAGCCCCACTTGCCTCTCCAAGCCACTGCATGTCCAGAGACCACTTCTTCTGGAGCCTGGACGTCTGTGTGTTTCTCCTGGTTTTGCCAAGGCCCTTCATGTCTCAGTCCCAGCATGGACATTAGTTGGTTTCCCTTCTACTCTAACTAGGGATTTTGGAGATAGGTTTTCACCTGGTGCAGCCAGGTGAAATGCTCAGCAGTTCACCAGGAAGGCCAGTTCATGGTGACTCACCCAGTGACCAGTACCGAGCCCCAGGAAACATCTTGAACTTCACATCTATCAATAATTTGTGCACTTTGGGCCTGTCGTGCTGGTGTTGTACCCCATGTGGCTTTTTTGACTTAGAGGATGATGGTGTCTCTCCTAAAGGGGAAGTTCAGTAACGCAGTCAAAAAGTCTTTACTCTGTCTCAGCTCCTGCCATTGCTGCCTCTCCTCCATCTCTGGGGCAGAGTGAGGATCTTTTGACCCTTCCTTTCTCACCTGGCTGCCAGCCAGCTTGGGCAGAAGTGCCTAAGGGACTTGCCGAGTGCTTGGGGTGAAAGACTGGAGGAAAGACTTCTCCAGCGTGTGGTGCACACGTCTAGCAGGCAGAGGGATCATGGAGCAGTCCTGCCGATGCAAACCTGCGGCGTGTGGAGTCCCACGACTGGGCTTTTGTGGGAGGCACTCCTGGTTTTCCTTGCCAAAAGAGCGACCTCCTGGGTTTGAGTGGTAGTTGAAGGATGTTAGACCCAGCAGTGTGATTTTCAGCGAGGGGGACAAGGCTAGGCAGCATGTGGTGCTTGAGGTGTCTCCTAGAAGCATTGATGAGCAAGATTCCCTCTCCTCTGTTGGGGAGGCGTTGAGGGCTTGGTGGAGTTGCGTGTCTTTGATGCTCCAGCCATTTGGGTTGAATTTTGAGTTCAACCATAGGCTCTTTGAAAACAAAAACATCCCTGGAGAGCGGATAGACCTGTTCCCATGTGACATGTGCTGGTTTGTGATCTTGGGGCCTGGCGAGCAGCCCCAGTCCCCATCTCCAGGTGAGAGGTGTGTTGCACAGGCTGGTGGAGGCGGCCTCCATCGTGGAGAAGAGGCGCCTGGGCTGGCTGCTAGTGATTGCAGCACAAGTCCATGGGGATCGAACTGCATCCAGGGGCACAGGGTAGAAGGTGCAAGCCTGGAGGTGCCAGGAAACCAGGGTTCAATCTACACTTTCCACCTCCCATCTCCTGCCTGAGCAGTTTTAGGGAGATCCCTGACCTGCTCTTGTGGCTTGAAGTCCTGTAGCAAGGTTTGCAGGTTGCCCAGTGCCTTGTGCAGAAAGCTCCTCCTTGGATCCTGCAGCTGTTGCCCTGGGGACAGCACTTCACATGTTCCCAAATCCATATGAAATACCCAGGCAGCCAAATAACCATGGATTTCTTAGCACCTTCAGCTGGGTGTTGCTTCCCTCCAAGCTTGGATAAAGTGGATGTATCTGAATCCTGGTTTTGAACTGTTTTCCCTCTGTTCAAAAGGCCTATGCTCTCTTTTTTTTTAAAAAAAAAAGGGTTTGCCACTGGATCAGCACCTTCTCTAATGAAACACGATACATATGTTCAAGTTTACAGTGCACAGTGTTACATTCTTTTGATAAAATAGAATAAAATTATTTTGATACCATTTCCTCCCTGACTTTGTGTCTGCCTGGGGGAGAGGGGCAGTCTCAGCGCCTCTTAGGACGTGATCACACTGCATCTATCTGTGTGCATCCTCAGTAGCAACAGTTGCCAACTTTGGAGCCACACAAGTGCCCTGGACCTTCCCGGGCTCAGGGAAAATTGCAGCCAGTCTAACTCGGGTGTAAACTCGTATTTCAGTAGCTCCAAGGGGGAGGTGGTTGACTGTCTCTCAACAGAAAGGCAAGAGGATCTGCTCAACAGGCCGTCTCCCTTCCATGCCTCAGGTTGCTGAGGCCCTTCATGTCTCAGTCCCAGCATGGACATTAGTTGGGTTCCTTTCTACTCTAACCAGGGTTTTGGAGATAGGTTTTTCTTCTTCTTGGGTCTTGTGGCCATTTTCAGAGCAACGAGAAGGTCCAGGGTCTGTTTTGGCAGGGAGGAAGTGCAGTTTTTCCACTGTGTTTACTCCCTACAAGCCCATCAGGCAAGAGGAGGGGACAAGCATGGGGATTGCCCGAGGGCTTCCACCACTAAGAAAAACACCCTGGAGCACTGTTACTTTCAGTCTTTATTTGTATAAAAGCCTTCAACTTGACCGATATCAAAACAGGGAGGACCAGTTTCACAACGAGTGGCTCAAAATGATCATAGAAAGGGTCACAGATTAATGGCTGTGGTGGAAACATCCCCAAGAAATTCCCTTGTAGGAAAAGAGGAAAAGAGCCTAATGGTAATTTCAGAGCTGAAAAAAAACATATATCACTGGGGACTGACCACAGTGAACCCAAATGTGGCTTGGACCTGCCAAGGCCACCTGGGGCAAGACACACTGTGCAGCTGGCCCCAGTTGCAGTACTGGGTTAATGCAGAAGGTGACCTGCACTGTCCCCACTAGGGAGGGCTCTGAGCATGGCCGAGCTTTGCAAGCTCCTTGCCTTGGCCTCACAGGGAAGGACCATGATGAGCAGGAGCTCGGGAGAACCTCAGGCCAGGGTCCAAAGAGCCGTGTCGGCCAGGCGTGAGCCTCTACACTGGATGTGCAGACAGCGTGAGAGAAGCAGCAGGCCCCAGGGTTCAGGCAACCCTGGAGCAACTGAAAATCAGAGCCAGGTCAGGAGGAGCTTGTTGGAGAAGGGCAGGAAGAAAGAAAACATAAAAACAACAACAAAGAAGATCTAGTTTGGGATTTTCCTGAAGTTTGGGATTTTCCAGTCTTGGCACTGTCCAGGTTCCTGTTCTCTTCTGAGGACTGTGAGCTCCCAGCTCATGACTCTTCCTGGTCAAGCCATAAAGCTGAAAGTCTCTTAAGGCACAGCTCAAACAACTGTAAACACTGATGGCCTCAAGGGAAGGTCCAGCAAGTGATTCAAGTACCATTGAAACAAGATGTAGACACTCTTGTTGTCCCACCCCAAGCGCCAGCAACTCCTCCGTTGCTGTGGTGGATACAGCCTGGGTCACCTCTGAGCCATGGGTGGCTTCAGGGCCACCTTCGGGGCGGCACCTCTCTGAAACACAAATAGACGTGTCAGTAGGGGAACGAAGGATCTGCGGACTTCACAAGGTCCCCTCATCCTCTAGTGCAGAGCCAATATGGGGACAGCAGTGGCTCAAGGCTGAGCCACCTATGCGCAGTGCACTCGGAGGGCCACAGCATGGGCCATGGTGCAGCTCACCTGGGGCATGGTGGGGCCTGGATGTTGCTGGGACAACAGGGCTGCAGGTTTGGCAGGTGGGACAGGAGGTGGCAGTGGTGCTTCTCCAGTGGTGCAGCGAGGCCAGGCAGCCTGTCAAACAAACAAATGGCAGGGCAAAATGCAGTGACACAAGCTCCACGGCCATGCTGTAACCAGGATCTGACTCCCCAAGGCAGTAACTCAAGATCCTGACTGTTCCCACAGTGTTAGGTTTCCCAGGCACTGTCCCTCATCCCCTCCCCTGCAACAAACTCCACACAATGGGAGCTGTGCCCTACCTTGCTCTTCAGCGCTGGGAGAGGCTTGCTGGGTGGACTTGGCTTCACCTGGAAGAAGGAAAGGAACAAAGCGACCCCCTTGTTTGAGTGACACAAATCGGGGATGGGAAACCAAGCCAGACTTTGAGACGGAGGGGCAGCCGAGGGAGAAGGGCAAGATGACACTGCCCATACGGCTCCTCAAGGCAGCCCCATCCTCAACAGGAAGGTGCTGCTCAGAGGACAGAGATGTCCGAGCTGGGTTCCACCTCCCAAGCAGATATGGATACCAGGCGCCCAAGTGAGTGCAGGGGTTTAGGTAGATGGTTGATTTCTTACTGGCAGATCTGTCATGACACTGCCTCAACTTTGGCTTTGGCCAGTGGAGTGGGGAGTTTTCATGTCTTTGCACTTCCCCAAAATCTCACATTTGAGCTTACCTCTCTAGGAGCCAGCAGAGGCTTTGCAGAGGCTGGAGGCAGAGGTGGTAAACAGAGCATTGCAACACCCTAGAATGAAGGAGAATCAAAGAGCTGCTGCTTTGTCCAAAGGACAGAGGGAGGCCAGTGGCCACAGAAACGTTTGGAGAGCTCTTGACAGTGGTCACCACAGTCACGGGCACTGACAACTCCCAGTCTTTGCAGGCTGATTTCCGTGGTGGTTTTACCCTTCATCAGCAATCTGGGGAATGACCCAAATGTACCCAACAAGTCTGGGGTGCTACAAAACAAGGAAAGGTGCTGAGAGCAAACGGCAGTCATGGGCTGGAGAGCTCAGCACACTGAGCAGCAGAAAACCTCCAGTGTCCAGCAAGAAGGGGTCAGGGCAAGATCAGGGCAGGAAGGGCAGGGTGACTGTGGGAACGTGGCAGTCTGTGTCCTGAGCTATACAAGAGGGACACGGAGACCCTGGCAAGGTCCCACAGAGACTGCCAAGCTTGACATAGCCTGATGCACAAGGAGATGGAAGACTTTCTGGGTCCATCCATGGGGAGACTAGGAAGTTGTGCAAGCAGACTTATGTCTGCGTGAAGGACAGACTGCCCCCACACCTAACACATGGAGATAAGCCAGGCTTATCCACCAGAGCCAGACTGTCTCAGGCCTGGCTAAGAATGACTTCTGGATGCACTGGGTGCCATGCAGGGATGGATGGTGGTTACCTGAGAAGGATGGACTGGAGAGGTTGGAGACGTCATCTGAGTGGCTGGCACAGGAGGCTATAGGATCAGCAGAAAAAAGGATGAGATGTTGCATGGCCTAGGACACTATGAAGGTGCCCTCACCGCTTGCCACAGGCTGTTTGCAGCACATCCGGCCAGGTCAGCTCTACTCTCCTACCTCTGGAGCTGGGCGGCTGGGCCTCACGGAGCGGGCACCATGCAGGTTCGAGGGCGTGGTGAGCAGGCTCGGGCTGCCAATGTCATTCCGGGACAGCGATTCGCCTGCAATGCAAAGGACCAACATGGCATCAGCAGCTTTGTCCAGCTTCAGACACAACCCTCAAAGCCCCGATGGTGAAAATCCCCTCTATCTGCCTCAGCAAGGCAGCTGGAGACTTACCCTTTCTGGAAGTACCTCTTCCCACCGCCTCTGATGAGCATAAAGCATCCACCGAGCAGGATACTGGAGAGTGCCAGCACCGCCAGCATGGCTGCCATGACCACAGTGCTGCTCCCTGCAGAGACCCAAGAGCTGTGAGAATGGGCACCCTCCTGCCCAACACACCCAGCATGGAGAGATGCCCATGGGCACCTATGGCCATGGGTTCACCTTCACCCCCACGCTCTCATCCGCCTCCCACCCCAGGGCTTTTCTCTGCCAGCTAGGCACATGGTGCGGCGATCTCTGCACCACACACCTGTGGTGATCTCGGAAATCTTCTGCTCACAGTACGGCGCTGCCCACCCTGGGTCACAGTGGCACTCCCGCTTGTGATTGCAAACCTGAAATCAGAGAGGGCAGAGTCAGCGCGCAGGCGCACACTGCCTCTAAGTTTGCAAACTGCTCCTGAGCTGGGGCTGCCACCAAGCTCCCTGTCTGCCTTTGAAGGCCATGATCCAGCCCCAATTTCAGCAGGGTTTCTCCTGCCCTTGCACTAGGTTCAGCTGAGGAAGGGTGCCTGGACACCCCACAGGCTGGCGCGATACGGGAGCATGTTAGAGGGCTGGGCATACCCCATGGTTGTTGCATTTTGCAGAGCAGTTCTTGTTGCCGTAGACCAGGACGTTCTGGCAGCGTCCGGCGTAGCAGACCTGCAAGAAGGCAAAGGGCTCTAAGAGCAGAGCAAGGCGTCCACCAGGTGCCCCATTCAGGCAGGGGATCTTCCCAGCCATCACAGCAGCTGGGCCTGTACACTCACCATCTCCTCCCCACACTTGGTGCCTGTGGGCACCAGCTTGAGGTTGGCCACCGTCCCGCTGGCATCATTGTCAGTGATGGCTGCTTTGCACTTGAGGCGGTTAAACGAGATGTAGTACGAGCTGCCACCAATGACGGGGTGGGCGTTCTCGCTCAAGCACAGCAACGTGCCGCACTTCACATCCCTGCGAGGGGAGGCAGAGGTAGCTGTGAGCGCAGGGAGCACCAGCCACCAGCCCAGCCTCTCATCCAGAGCATGAGAGAGTTGCCAAGGGCTGGGGACTTTGCCCCAGGCCCCAGCAAAAGCCATGGCCAGACCCAGACTGCTCCATTGCTTACTCAGGGCTGCAGGGCCTCTTCCCCGACTCAGTGAGGCAGTGGAGGTAGAGGTTTTTCTCACTGTTGTAGTTAAAGCAGGCGTCAGGGGCCACCTGGGCAGCTGTGGGACACACAGAAGAAAAGGATCAAGCAAAGCCAGAGCCTGTGTCAAGCTGGCAGCAGCCGGCACAAACCACATGGCATCACCATCATGGCAACACATGGCTCAATGTCCATGTGAGAGCAGCAGGCACCATCCACCCCTGGTGCGAAGATCTGCCTGACCCCACAGCTGCTCTCCCAGGTGCTGCTGGGTCACCTTCCCAAAGAGAGCAGCCCTATCATCTCTGTTGAGGATGCCAAAGCTGGCCATGGGATCACCCTGTAGTGGAGGAACCAGCTCTGGAGAGCTCTGCCCTTTCTCCTCACGCCTAGGGTGACAAGGGTGCCTTACCCGCTCCCCAGAGCATGCGGCACTGCTCGCCATGTGAAGGACATGCCCCGTTGTAGCAGTAGCCACTCCCGTGCTGGCACGGGATGCCGTTCTCTTGGAAGACGTCCTCTGGACACTCGGGGCTGAGGCCGGTGCAGTGCTCAGGCAAGTCGCAGTCGTTTTTGTTGGCTCGGCACAACGCGCCGGCAGCCTTCACCTGCACAAAGAACAGTCTGTCGAGGACACTGTGACTCCCTCTGCACCACATTTGAGCACAGTTCAGCCTGCATGGGGTGGAGATGCCACCAGGCCTCCAACAAGCTGTGCTCATGTTTGGGCACTGCTCCAAATATTCTGTGCTTTACTTATAGTCTGGACTTGCCCCAGCTCCTCTTACAGCCTTGTCTGCTCAAGTCAAAGCATTGCCCACATCTGTGCTTAGAAACCAGTGCGGATATCGCTTAACTTTCTCTTGGACAAATGAAACAGAGCAAGCAGGTAGCTTTCCCCAACCGTGGGCAAGCTATCCCTATCTTCTCCAAATACTTCTCTGTTTTCCAACTTATTCTACCCTGCTCCAGACCAAACAGAACTGAGGTATCTGGACTCAAGGATGCCAGAAACAGGAGGTGGCTTATCCGCCGCACAGTATTCTCACCCAGATGGTGACTGCCAGTGTAGCAAGAGCGCCACATGAGAAGCATGATTTTTCTCCCAAACCGCTCGTTGCTTTTGGCCTTGGATGGGCTGCTAGGGACAGGGAGAAGGATCTCCATCCTTGGGTGTTTTCAAGACTCATTTGGAGAAAGCCAGGTGAGACCCACTGATCTGGTGTTGGCAGTGGTTGGTCCCTTCTCACCAGCACTTCTGTGATGTTCTACCATGTTTTCCCTCTTGTGTCCCTATCTGATCAGATCACAAAATAACATCCCTGCAGCGAATCACAAAGGAGTTAGGAGTGAAACAGGTGATTTTGCAGGTGACAAAGCAACTAGAGCAGCATGGTCTCCAGTAGCTCTCCAGGGTTCACAGGGTTCTTCAGACTCTCCCTCAGGCTTTGCATATACATTGCCTCTATCAGGGAGTCCCCAAGGAGCCCAGGACAGGATCATGCACCTGCCAGCTCCCTTTTCCTTGCTAAGCACATCCCCTTTCCCGTGATGGAAGCTGGAGGTACCTTGCAGTCCTGGCAGCACTCTCCACGGGCACACTCGGCTCCCTCTCTTAGCTGGCAAGTGGTGGCATTGCAGCAGGGATCAGAGCACTCCTGCAAGGCAAGAAGGGACAGGGACTGGCCATTAGCACTCTCTGGGCATGTTGCATCTCTCTCACAGGCTGCTCACATAGGCAGCAAACAGCTTAAATTTTACACTACTGTGAAATGAAACTAGGGCTGCTCAAGAGCCAGGCATCTACCCTGGGTTCACTGGCTCTTCAGAATCAGATGGGAACAAGTCCTTGGAGGAACCAGCCATGAATCAGCCAGGAGCAAGCTATAATGCATTTACAACTAACAAATATTGACCTTCCTACAGCTGCAAGCTCACAGGAGAAAACACCATTGCCACAAATCCACACAGGGCAAGCAGGAAGAGCCCGAAGTGAGGGATTTAGCCCAGGGACATCACCTGGCAGTTTGTCTCAAATCTTCCTGTCACAGCACAACAATGGGTCTGAAATGTGATGCTTCTAATGGTGAGGAGAAGCTGATCATGGCTTTTGAAAGAATGCCATGCCATGATGACCCCTTGCTGGGATCTTCTTTTGGAAGAGGGTGGGTTAGGGGGTATCCTTCCTAGGAACTCTCCCACAAACACCACATCCAGCTACAAGCAGCCAGCACATATCAAAGCCCTCCTTTATTTCCAGCCTCTCCGTAAGAGTGTCCGTACCTCCGGCGGGCCACAGTCGCACTGCTCTCCTCGCTCCACAAACTGATTCCCACACACGGGCCCCCCATACAGCTCATCAGCCTTGGGGGCATTCAGCAAGCAGCTGGTCCTGGGGTCTCCAAGGAACTGCCACATGTCATGTTCACTGCAGCTGCTGAAGAGCTTGGGGTAAACCAAGCTTGGGGAAAGAAAAATAGGTGATCACAACCAGACATAAGAGCCATAGGGCCGTTGCAGCTGTCATCCCATAGAATAACTGCTGGAACCCTCTCCAGACACAAGTGTAACTTCAAAGATTGATTATTGAAGTGGTCAATGTTGATCTGGCCTCAAATGTCTCAAGAGCTTCACCCTCAATCTCGCTGGGACAGTGCTAGGAGATATCTAGAGACATCCGCTACCTAGGGATATTCCCCTTTCTTGTTCACTCACCCAACACTCGCTGCCATAACGCAGCCTCCATCAGCTTTGGGGACAGGACAGTGGCAGCTAGCAATGTCTTCATCATGAGACATCCCCAGGTTGTGCCCCATCTCATGAGCCATGGTGGATGCGGCACCGATAGGATTCTCACTGTGGTCCTGTAGAACAAGAATGAGATTCATATGTCTCCTTTCCATAGCATCTCTGAGAGGCCCATTATTGCTCTTCAACAGTTCAATGTCAGGGCTTGCTGCTGTCTGCAGTTCATCCCCAGATGCTTCCCTGCCAGCATAAATGAAGATGAAACCTGGGTCTGGTCCCACAGTCCTTGGAGACATTCGGGCTGGGCTCTCTGGCATGTAAGACAACATGTACATATATATCTGCGTATATATATAAATACATATAGTGGCTACCCTAAAATTAAGGTTTTATGGTGTTTCTGGCTCATGTGCTAGCAAAGGATGCTATCCCTGGGGTGAGGTGGAGGGACTGAGGTCTGAGGTGCACAGTGAGGATGACTGAGGAGGGATTGCAAATCATGTCCTAACCATCTGAAAGGCAGTGGGAAGAGCCCTGTGTCTATGGAGTAGCTTTGTGAGGCTCTCCACATGGCTCAGTTATATGAGAGGCCTGCACAGTGCAGGTGCCCATTTCTGTTTCCCACAGCCACCCTTCCCTCTAGGCCATGACACATGGTTCAGAGTCAGTCTCTCCAGGATCATTGATGCCAGGGACAAGATTTAGATCTGGAAGTATAGTTTGGACGGGCAGAGCCCAGCGCCTCAGCCCACACATTTGCCCCTGCCTGACCATGGGATCACTGCTGCCATCGTGGAGCATGCCTAGGCAGTGGGACCTACCTGATTGACGCCACCTGAGTCCCTGGTGCACATCGCAAGCTTCTTTGCGAGGCCTACAGTTGTTCCATGGAAGTCTATGCCCCTGTGAGAAGAAAGCATATTGATGAACATATGGCCCACATACTAACAGGGGCAGAAGGCAGAAAAGGTGCTTGTGTGCCCAGGGACCGCCAGGGAGGATCCAGTCCTGCCTGGTACCCTTACGTGATCAGCTGGGCATTGTCATGCTTCTTCTTCCTCAGCAGCTCTGTCTCGCGCCAACGGAGGAAGTTGTCCAGAGTCACTTCTGGGTTGGGACTCACAGTGATTTTGTCCTTGTTGTTCCACACCTCCAAGCCAATCAAGGCCACACGCAGGTGAAGAGACTGATAAAGCTGAGATGGGAGAAACCCCAGAGACAGCACTTGGATTTAAGCTGCACAGCAGAGGAAAGGTCCCATCCACTCCAGAAACCTGTGATTCAAGCTCACCTAGTCATGCAATACCAGACTGACACTCCAGGTATATTACAGACCCTGCCACAAAGCAATGGGACCTTATGTGACCACGTAAACAGGGTTTACCCTGAAGTGCCCTCTCCATCTAGCAATGGCCACCCATTCCTATGGTGCTACTGGACAGCAAGGCTAAAGCGATGAGAGCAGAAAGTTTATACACCCACTTCCAGAGGCCTTACCTGGGCTGGCACCCACTCCAGCTCATGAATTGATGAGGCAACATCCCGCCCAAAAGTTACAAGGAGATTTTTTTTCCCCTGTTCTCTTACGGAGGTGACTAGCAGAGAGCTCTGAGGCAGTCTTTTCTTGCCCTTGGGCACCCATCAGAGAGCAGTGTTCCTTTTAATATCTGCTTTGCACACCTTGTTGGCCAATGGATTTGGTCACTATCTGGTAGACCACCTAATCGACTTGAGATTTCCTCCAGCTCTGTCATTTAATCTGCTCTGTTCTCTCCTCTCTTCACTACCATATTCATTGACAATATTTTTCCATTTCCACAGCAGGAAGCCTTCTCCTAGAGTGGGGTGGGAACCATACTGACCCTGTGTATGCTGACACACATGCAAGGTGGGCAGATCAGGACCCTTGAACTCACCTTGTCAACGTGGTTCACGATTTCCTTCATGCGGTTCTGCACCATGCGCAAATCCTTGTACTTTCTGAACTATGGGAAAGAAATGGAGAGATTTCCAGGTTGCCTTCTACCTGGGAGGAGAGTGAATTGACAAGAACCAATCCCCCCTCTCTTACCTCCTCATTGTCCACAACCAAGATCAGCTCCACATATCGAGGCCCTTTGTGTAATGGAGCTGATTTCTGAAAAGGAAGATTAAAGTGAATGCAAGGAGGAGCTATGCAGCTGGCCATCCCATGGGATTTGTTAGCTCCTGGGGAATCATCTTGTCTTGCTCAGGATTAGTAGCTCTGTTAGCTCTGTTTCCTAATGACATTTTGCAGGGTCTTTGAGACGCCTTCCAACATATAAAAGAGACCTCTAGCCTGCTACTGATGGAGGTACTAGACAGGTTCTGCAGGTGTCAGTGGCATACAGAGAGCACCCGCATGGGTTGCACAGGGCAGCGATCTGAGGACTTGTTCATACCAGAAGCAAGGCCACTGAGCCTGGTAGGAACCTGTGTTTGGGCACTCAGTTGGCAACAGTTGGGTGGGAAGAGGGGAGTATCATCAAGAGATGCAGTATGGCCCAATTCCAATCCTAGCCTTTCAGAGGCAGGCTCTTGGCACTTGTGAACTCAACTATGGCAAAGAGGAGCCGTGTAGTTCCTAACCCAGTGATGGAGCTTCATGGCCGCAGCAATTTTTGGTTCGTGGTCATATTCCACGGTGGCACTAGACTCTTTGCACGTGCCACGCTTCATCCGCAGGTGAGCTGCTCTGTACACTGCATGCCATCCAGCCTTATCCTCGCTCAGGGGTTCCAGCACATAGGCGGTCTCATTTACACGGAAAAATCCACTGCCAAAAATAAGAAGAGACATCAGTTCAAGTAGGGGTTACACACACAGTCTTCAAGAAAGAAATATCCCATGCGATGCTGTTCTCAGTACAGACCAACAGGATGTGTCTAGACACTGCACACACCACTAGGAGTAACTCTAATACAAAACATTGCTGCCAAATCCCAGCTAGGAAAGCACCCATTGCTTTCCTTTCCCTTCCTGCAGGCAGAATAGCAGCTTGGATGAGGTACAGGCCACTACTGCAAAATGGAGCAGTCCTTGGACTTGGCCAGAGATGAGGAGCAATAGGAGCAACACGTTTATAGCACTTGTTTTTGGAGAATGTGGAAGTACAGACTGGACAAATGCACAATTAGGGGGTGGAAAACTGACTGAGTTGCCATGTTGTCATGGGAGTGATCCATAGCTCAGCATCTGTGGACCAGCAGAAATTTGCTGAAGTGCCTGGTGCTGCTGGGTCAGGTTTAACATGTTTTTTAACATGGCTAGTAACCAGTGCTGACTTCCGAGATGCTTTCTGTAAGGTATTGCAAATGTGAAGGCAAAAAGTAAAATCTGTCCTACTGACCACCACAAGTCTAATATACTGCAGTCTCAGTCTGTAAAGGCAAGACACGTTAGCGACGTTATAGTGAAAACACACAGGCAAGGCTTGTTGTGTCTTTCTGAATCTGCATTATCCCCATGTAAGTTATACCCACCTTATACTCTGCATAAGAAGCAGGCTGAGAAGTAAGGGTCAAGCTCTTGCTCAGGGGAGCTAACCCACAGCTGGCTGCCCGTGTGTTTTCATTCTAGGCTTTAAGCTACTGAGGTCACACATGCAACATTCCCACTGCTCTGAGCAAACGGACCTTTTTTCGTCTCCCTCCTCCAGCGAAAAATGAGTTATCTCCTCCATCAGGTCAGGCCCAGAAGAGCAGGGCTTTGCCACACCGAGTCATCATTAGAATTAGACCCTGTTGACTCACTCAAGAGCAGGGCTTTGTCACATCCACTCACCCTTACACAGTGTTTACTCATTCAGGAGAGGCACTGCAATGTGCAGAGGAAACGAGCAATGCCCTTCTGGGTCCTGGTTTGGTGCTGCCCACCTGGGAAAGCTGCCAGAGCTCATTCACCTTTCCCGCTCACCCTTGTCCCATGCAGTGCCCTCGGTGGATCAAAAGTCCTACCTGAGCCCGTTGCAGGTGCTGATGCTGGCTGCTGAAATGGCATACCCCTGAACACGACCTTGATAAAAGCAATGATCCTGCAAGACAGAAAACAGATGTGTCAAGGCAATCTGCACCATACTGGAATCACAGAGAGAAGAGCTAAAGAGACAGATGCTGAAGGACGTGGGGCAGTGACCTTCAAGGAGGGAAGACGGAGCCATACCACATTGTGTGCCACCAGCGCCTGGCACTTTGCAACCTCGTCCTGAAGGTCTCACACTGTCAGCAGAGCCTTCCTCACCCTAAACGCCACTTTTCCAGGAACCCACTGCAAGGCAAGCCCCATACCCGAACATCTGGCTTCTCTACGATCTCCGTGCCGTCAGCCGAGTAATGCGTCTCAGTGTAATGCTGTCCAAGGAGCTCCCTGAAAGAACACGAAAGGGATCATGTTAGCCATGACAGCTCCTTTAGGTAGAAGATGGGAAGGTGATGTACATATTGCAGGTGGGCTCAGCATCACTCCGGACCTCACAGGCGAAACCCTGCCTACCTCCCCGTGAACACGGTGAGCCCTAGGCTCAGAGGCTGAGGTGCTCCTGGGCATTATATTTGAATATAACAGGCCCAGGACCTCACAGGGAAACATGAGTATTTGAACACTAGTGTAAACGAGTCTCCCAGCCCTCTCGGCCCACTGGCACTCACATGTTCTTCTCCAGGTGCAGAACATAGTCCTTGCCTTCGGCACGGATGCTGTAGAGGACATGGTCTGGATAGATGTTCTGCATGAAACAAAATGCCAGCACAAACCCACTGTTACCAGCAGCACAAGTTGCAAAAGGCTTTTTTTTTTTTTTTGCCCAGATGCATCCCAATACACGCACCCAATAAAGCAGGTGACTGCAGGATGGGCACTGACAACACCTCTTGTCACTGCCCAGAGGCAATGTACACACTCACCCCAAACGCATCTAGCGAAGAGGCAGGAAATCAGGAGAAGAGCAAGAAAGTACCTCTACAAGATCACAAATCCCCAACGCATGATGAGATAAAGAACGAGTCATGCCAGCAACGAAGAAGAGAGTCAGCAACGGCTGGTTTCCCCTGTATGATGCATGGCCAAAGACAGGCACACAAGGAGCTGAAATTTCCTGCTCATCAGTCACAAGAGCTCCTTTTTTGAGACTGCAATTGGCACTTGCTCGTGGGCAGAACATAAAGGTCTTTGGTGCGCAAGTGCTTTTATTGGTAGAGACTTCCTTATCTATGGCTGATCTAATAACATGAGCTCTATTGCAGGTAGACTTAAGACCATTTTACACCAGATACCTCGCAGCATCGCCAGGATGTTGGTGGAAGGAACCTCAAGGAGTCTCTATTCCAACCTCCTGCCACCAGCGCTGGGTCACGGTAGCCCAACCTAGCCCTGAAATCCCCAGGACAGAGAACCAGCACCTGCAAGGAGTGTTCCCCTCCAGAGGAAACCACCTGCAAGGGATGTTCCTTCCCTGGAGGAGAAAGTGTTTCCTGAAGTCCCATCTCTGCTCGCTTGTGATGCCCATCTGTGGATGCTGGACTAGAAACCTCCAGCGCGATAGATACCATCCATTAGAAACCATCTCAGCAGGACCACAGGGAGACACTACAGCCACTCACCCCCTCCTGTGGTGCTCCATGTCAGGCTGTGACTTTGGCACCATGTGGGACCTCCTCACTCACCACAGGGGCAAGGACAGGCTCCCTGAGGGCCTTTCCTCAGCTCTTGCAGGGTCCTAATGTGAGAGACCATGTGAAACGCAAAGCACCAGCTCGCTACAGGGCCAGCATTCTTCCTGGATGAGGTGTTTGCCTCTCCCCAAGGAGGATGACAGTAACTATTAGCATATGAAGGCTCAGCACTCCCCGGAGGGCATCTACAAGCAGATGGGAGCTGGGGTTAAGCGGGAGGTCCTGCTGTCTCAGCAGCGCAGTCAGAGCCAGCTAGGTCAGGGAAAAGGCTTTTCCGGTGAGTCAGTTGCCCTCCATTCCACCCCATTCATGTTTCCAATTGGAAGCGACGCTTGGAGCACCCGGCTGCTGGCCACGAAACATCCTCCCTGCATGCTGAGTGAGCCCCAACAGGTCTCCGTGGAGTAAGGCAGCCCAGGTCCCTTGCACAGCATCCCCATCAGCATCTCGCTGCCACGGTCCCTGGCACATTTCCTCTCACCGACGGGTGTCTCATGTGTGACGCGGCCTTTCCTTCCCGTGCCCGCCAACAAAGCGACCCTTTGTTTTTGCTGGCCATGCCAGAGCCAGCGAAGGCCTTAAGAATTCACTGAAAAGCTCTTAGAAGGGGCGCAAGGGGGCAGTGGGGAGAAGAACTGCAGTGCAAGCTTACGAACAAAAAAAGGCAAAAAAAAAAAAAAGCTGATAAAAAACTTCCCTGAAGCACCTCCTTCCTGGTGAGTGAGCGCTTTGTAAGCACTCCGGATGGGAAGGCTTTGAAAGCATGAGCGACTCAGTCCTGCCTGTGCCAGAGCCACACTGACCTCGTGACAGTGCTGAGCAAGCACAGACAGAGCAGTGGCCAGAGCACATGGAGAGAGAAAAGGAGTTTATTCCAGTTGGTCTAATTAAGAGGAGACCTAAAGGGCTTGCAGAGGGTTGGGGTATGATTGCTCTGTCCCAGTGCAGCCCCTGCCCCAGCTCCAGCCACACGTGTCCGCCTCAGTGAAGAGGAACCCGCTGAGCTCCTCTGAGCTTGATGCTCTCAGCAGGCATCTGTCTGCCCAAAGAGTCTTCTTGACCCATCTCCTTCCCTGGAGGAGGCTGTATGCAGGCTCCAGCTGGGGTACCAGAGGGACCCCCCCCACATCTCCCTGCCACCCTGTGCTGTGGCTCTGCTTGTTCTGCTAAGTCCCAGTGATTCCTGCAAAGTGCTGAGCTGGGGTTGGCGAGAGCTTTGCTGCCCCCATCCAGGCAAAGGATTCTCCTTCTTGCCTCAGCTGGCTTTGGGACATGGCAAGGAAAATCAGCAGTGATGTGTGAGCATGTGGTGATGCTGGGTCCTGTGGCTGGAAACAGCCTTGTCATCAATATATATTTCCCGAGTGTGAGGAAAATACAGGTGTCCTCCAGAGACAGAAGGGTTTAACCACAAAACCCAAGATGTCGCCTCTACTCAACTTCCTCAAGTAACACCAGTTGTCTCAGCCTAGCACTTTTTGAAGGTCCTTCTCCTGCTCTGTTTTCAGGTCCCTTTGCATGGCGAGTCTACATGCGCATTTATCACACCCTACCCCTGCTAAGCAAAGTTGATGACTCAGGGTAGGAGGGCAAAACCATGCCCTTCGCTGAAGGCTGGTGTCTCAGGCAATCCTGCGCTGCCAGAATCTGGTTTCGCTCAACTATTTCATTTCCAGCCTTGCACGGAAACTGCCCTTTCGTTCGCTCATCTCCATTTCAAAGAAGGTTTTGTTGGTGAGTCAACCCCACCAAGAACCGCGTCCCCAGCCAACGCTACTAAGAGCAAACTCAGGGAGGAAGAAGTAGGAAATACTTCAAACAGCAGGAGACTTTCTACCCTTAACACATCGGCATCCAGGAGAGACCCCCACCGACAGCGACGCCGGGGACACGCAGCTCCAGACAGCACGTGCCCTCCCACACTGCCGCGTCCCCGTCTACGCGCCGCCGAGCGCCGTGCCCGCGGAAAGCAGGGGGACGTGCCACTCGGCGAGCTCTCTTCTCCGTGGGATCGGTGCCGAGAGAGAGAGAGAGAGACGTTCAACATGCCTGGCACCAGATGGTGACTCTAAATAGCCGGGAGAACGTTCATCTCGTGGACAAGTTTAGGTTTCTGGAGCAGAGAAAACAGATGCTTTCAGGGAGTGTTTGTGAAGCTATTTGGTGAGAGAAGGGTTTGAAACCCGAGTGAACGCGCTGTACGAAGAGCTTACTAGGAAATGAATGTCCTCAACCTCCCAGTCTCATCAGGTGCTAAAGTTAGTGCATTTTTAGTCTTAAAAAAAAATGGCGTCATATGTTTAGCTGAATTTCACTTCTTTTAAGGCAATGAGGGAAGCGTCCTTGAGGTCAAGGCCACAATCCCAGGAAGGCCAACTCCAAGGGCTCAAAACTCCTGAGTCAAACCCCATTCCCTCCCCCCAAATTGCATTTCCCCCCCGCTCTGCCTCCAACAAAAAGCACTGTGGTTCTTTCATGTGGGTTCCTGAAACTTTCTGATTCATGCTTCCCTAGCCCAAAGGATGAAAAAACGGCTTAAGAAAACACAGAAAGAGAAACACTTGTATCTCAGTGAGACGCCACAAACCAGTGCTCAGGAAAAGAGCAGACATCACAACGTCGGTACGAGACTGCAGGAGGTGGAAACGCTGGCCAACGTCTCCTGGCTATCAGCAGCAACTATTTTGAGCCAGGACAACCCAAGGAACGCTGCTTTGAGCCCATGCTTTGATGTCTCTACCCTTTGGGATATAGGCACTGCAAGAAAATTCGCCCCGTGCCACACACAGGCTAAAGGAGGTTCAGCTCTGAGCCTCGTCCTCTGCCACTTCCATGCCAAGGGCACTTTGAGTTTCCTGTCTGTTCAGCTCCCTGGCATGGCTTTTCAGCCATGTTTCAGGGAACAACAAGCCAGTTGGGTAGGCTTGAGCCATTGGCTTAAGCAGAAGCTTAAAATGACAGGGTGCAGGCTCCCCTCTGCAGCCGTCTGGGCTGGTGGTGATCAAGAGGTGACGCTACTCACAGAATGTGCAGAGAGGTCCCTCCTGCCCCGAGCCACCGGCAGCCTGCGCGGCTTCACCGTCTCGTACTTCTCCACATGGGCCAGCTTCTCCTCAAGGCTGACAGAGACACCTGCAAAAGCCAAAGGGCAAGAGCTTCGGTCATGCTCAGAGCCCGGGGGATGCCGAGGCACCAGCACCCAAGGGGTGAAATTTCTCTCTCCCCATGGTGACAAATCCATTCAGATCCCCAGGGAGCTCTCCCAGGACCACCAAACTGGGACCTCCCATCACAGTCTCTGGACGCCCATGCATGGTGGCCAGCAGCTCCCACACAAGACGGGGAGGGAGGCAACACACGGGGACGGTGCCAGAGCAGAGCGCTCCATCTGTGGGTGCCTGGCAGCCCTCGCCCACGGCGCGTGCGCGGGAGCCAAGAGCCTCGTCAGCACCCACTCGGCGGACTGAGTCACGGTCCCGCTGCCAGCACGGCGCAGACTGGAGGGTGACAAGTTTCCCTCTCTTGCTGAAGGCTCATCCGGGCGCAATTACATAATCTGGCCAGCCCCATCTGCTCGCTGGGCTCTGGAGCTGAGCCCCAACCGCACCGTGTGGAGCGGCAACCCAAGC